AAAGGAAGGCTAAAGCAAAGTCAGCACTAAAGGATGAGCACGGTGGTATAAAAAAACAATTAGGAAAGGGTAGGTATATGTAAAATAGGTGAAGAGTGGGGATCAGAGGAAAGTACACCAGATGGGCAGACAGGTTCTGAATCCCATGTGAGGATTTACCTGGCACTGTCTTCAGTTTGAAGGTGGGGTTTCACCAGGGACCCACCCCTATCTGCCTGAGCATTTGAGTGCCTCCTCTCACTATCACAAAGAGTTCCTAAGGAGTACCAGATAAGGTCCATACCATTTTGGTTGAAGAGAGTTTTCTTGTTTTTAATCTAATTGTATTTATTTATTTATTTTTGAGATGGAGTCCCACTGTGCCACCCAGGCTGGAGTGCAGTGGTGTGATCTTAGCTCACTGCAACCTCTGCCTCCCAGGTTCAAGTAATTCTCTTGCCTCAGCCTCTAAAGTAGCTGGTGTTACAGGCACATACCACCATGCCTGGCTAATTTTTTTGTATTTTTAGGAGAGATGGCATTTTGCCATGTTGGCCAGGCTGGCCTCAAACTCTTGACCTCAGGTGATCTGTCCGCCTTGGCCTCCTACTGTAATCCAAGTGCAGGGATTACAGGTGTGAGCCACCATGCCTCACCTATGTTTGTTTTTTTTAAAATAGAGATGGGCTCTCTATATGCTGCCCAGGCTGGTCTTGGAACCCCTAGCCTCAAGTGAGCCTCTCATCTTGGACTCCAAAAGTGCTGGGATTACAGGTGTGAGCCACCGTGCCCAGCCAAGTTTTGTTTTTATGTTATTTCAAATAGTCGAAACCTGCTGGTTGAAGTCTCTGTTCCTTGCAGTTTTAGTTTTCCAGGAGCTCACTGTGAAGATTCTTTCACTAACGTGTAATGTATAGTTAATTGCTTTTTTTTTGCTTTTTGTTTTTGAGACGGAGTTTTGCTGTTGTTACCCAGATCGTGCAATGGCACGATCTCGGCTCACTGCAACCTCCACCTTCTGGGTTCAAGCAATTCTCCTGCCTCAGCCTCCAGAGTAGCTGGGACTACAGGTGCGCACCATCATGCCCAGCTAATTTTTGTATTTTTAGTAGAGACGGAGTTTCACCTCGTTGACCGGGATGGTCTCGATCTCTTGACCTCGTGATCCACCCGCCTCGGCCTCCCAAAGTGCTGGGATTATACGCGTGAGCCACCACGCCTGGCTAAGTTAAGTGTTTCATAAGACCATTGTAATCTGAATCTGTCTCCCTTTACCATTACAGATGTACAGTTTTTTGGAGATAATTTCATAGGTCTGCCATTATGATTTTGAATGGATATTCAAAATCCCCAGTTGGTGCTTCCCAAAAGCAGTCAACCCCAGAAGAAGCAGAACCATGGAAGGAAGAGCTTTTGGCTAAGGAATTTCAAAAGCCTCAATTAATTTTCCCAGTTGAGTTTGTTTGTGTGTGTTTGTTTTAAGACACAGGGTCTTATTTTCTTGCTTAGGCTGGAGCAGAGTGGCGTGATTATGGCTCACTGCAGTGTTGACCTCTTGGGCTCAAGCAATCCTCCCACCTCAGCCTTCTGAGTAGCTGGGACCACAGGTGTGTGCCACCAAGATGGGCTAATTTTTTGTACTATTTGTAGAGATGGGGTCTCACTACATTATCTGGTCTGGTCTCAAACTCCTGGGCTCAAGTAATCTGCTGCCTTGGCCTCCCAAAGTGCCACGATTATAGGCATGTGCCAACTTGCCCAGCCTCCAGTTGAGTTTTTATTATTCCATGTAAGCAGTTTGAGGTTCTTTTTCTTTTTTTCTAAGACAGAGTCTTGCTCTGTCGCCCAGGTTGAAGTGGTGTGATCTCGGCTTATTGCAACCTCCACTTCCCAGGATAAAATTATCTTCCCACCTTAGGCTACCAAGTAGCTGGGACTACAGGCATGCACCACCACTCCCATCTAATTTTTGTATTTTTAGTAGAGATGGGGTTTCACCATGTTGGCCAGGCTGGTCTCAAATTCCTGACCTCAAGTGATCTGCCTGCCTTGGCCTCCCAAAGTTCTGGGAGTACAGGCGTGAGCCACCACACCTGGCTGCATTTATGTGTTTTATTAACCCAGGTAACTACAGATGATAAACACATTATAAATGTTGGAGAATGGGCCACATTTTACAAACTGATTGGTTAAGGGAAATTTATTTAATCCTAAGGCTACTTTTCTACACAGAAATGCCTTTACCCTGTGAGAAAACATGCAAATCATTACCAGAAGATACTTGCATATTTGCAAGTGTTAAATCAAGTTTAGCCTAAAGCTGCCACCTTACTGTTTTAAGTTTGGCCTAAAGGTTCTTCTGTACATTGTGAACTACAACATAAATGAAGTTGTAAGCAGACTGTAGCCTACTCCTGTGTCAGTCACCGGGCTTTGGTCAATGCCAAAATGGCCTACTGTTCAAACCCTGTTCAAATAAGGTAAATGCTGAGGTGTAACCAATCTGCTGTTTCTGTACCTCAATTCCATTTTCTGTACCTCACTTTCCTTTTTCTGTCTGTAAATCTTCTATCATACGGCTGTATTTGAGTCTCTGAGGCTACGCTGGCTGAGGAGAATATCTGATTTGCCAACCATACTTGCTCAATTAAACTGTGCTAAATTTAATTCAGCTGAGTTTTTCTCTTTTATTTATTTATTTATTTATTTATTTATTTATTTTTTAATCGAGACAGAGTCTTGCTCAGTCACCCAGGCTGGAGTGCAGTGGTGTGATCTCAGCTTGCTGCAACCTCCGCCTACCTGGCTCAAGTCATTCTCCTGCCTCAAACCTCCCAAGTAGCTGGGATTACAGGTGCACACCATCACATCCAGCTAATTTTTGTATTTTTAGTAGAGACAGAGTTTGACCATGTTGGCAAGGCTGGTCTTGAACTCCTGACCTCAGGTGATCCTCCCGTCTCAGCCTCCCAAAGTGCTGAGATTACAGGGGTGAGCCACCAAGCCCTGTGGAGTTTTTAACACAAGGGTGGCAACTGCAGTAATCTAATTGCCATACCTCAAGAGGGGCCTCAGGTAAAGAAAAATGTCCTTGGGAACTATATGACAATTTCCCTGGATTATGTTCTGGACAAATGTGACAATTTTAGACCTCATAAGTTATAGTTGAAGTTTTCCAAAAATAGCTTTCCCCAAGGCCAGGTGCAGTGGCTCACGTCTATAACCCAGCACTTTGGGAGGCCGAGGCGGGTGGAGGTCAAGAGATCGAGACCATCCTGGTCAACCAGGTGAAACCCCGTCTCTACTAAAAATACAAAAATTAGCTGGGCATGGTGGTGCGTGCCTGTAGTCCCAGCTACTTGGGAGGCTGAGGCAGGAGAATTGCTTGAACTCAGAAGGCGGAGGTTGTGGTGAGCCGAGATCGTGCCATTGCACTCTAGTCTGGGTAACAACAGTGAAACTCCATCTCAAAAAAAAAAAAAATAGCTTTCCCCAAGCAACCATTTTGTCAGGACTCCAATGAGTGAGGTTATATACACAGGTTAAAAATGATAACTGTAGGCTGGGCGTGGTGGCTCACGCCTGTAATCCCAGTACTTTGGGAGGCTGAGGTCGGAGGATCACAAGGTCAGGAGTTCGAGACCAGCCTGGCCAACATGGTGAAACCCCATCTCTACCAAAAATACAAAAATTAGGGGCAGTGGTGAGAGGTTGTAATGCCAGCTACTCAGGAGGCTGAGGCAGGAGAATCCCTTGAACCCAGGAGGCAAAGGTTGCAGTGAGCTGAGACAGTGCCATTGCACTCTAGCCTGGGTGACAGTGGAAGACTCGGTCTCAAAAAAACAAAACAAAACTGTAATTCAGCAGGAAGTATAGGCACATTGTTTGGCCCACACCATGCCTCATCTTTGGGGGAGTATGTTTCCCCTTTTCCTAAAGGGCAAGAGCTATATCTAGTTTGTTGCCACAGTGCCATGTGCTTTTCATATAGGCATTTATTGATTGCAATATAGAAATGCTGAGGATGTGATGATGTTGTCATGCTACCTCCTGCATGAAGCCTTTCCTAACCGCACCGCCTTTCTCAGACTGAAAGTAACTTCCACATTCTTAGAATGTGGAGTATTCTTACAGCTCCAAACACATGGAACCTTGAGGAACAATTACTCCTATATTCGTCTTAATTATCCAAACCACCCTGAATCTTGCTACAAAGAACAGAAATTCTATGTATATTCAATGTGACTTTTTGGCACAGATTAAGCATTAATAATCTTTTGTTGAAGAAAGGTTAACACGTGGAACTTTAAAGCATAAATTCATAAATTTATGAATTTATAAATCTGTTTATGAATACATAATTTCACCTTAGATTTTAGGTGCTGATCTTTGAAGTTATAGGGTCTTTTTTTAACCCAGAAAGTGACTCTGGGCCGGGCCCAGTGGCTCACACCTGTAATCCTAGCACTTTGCGAGGCCGAGGCGGGTGGATCATGAGATCAGGATTTCGAGACCAGCCTGACCAACATGATGAAACCCTGTCTCTACTAAAAATACAAAAATTAGCTGGGCTTCGTGGCTGCGCCTGTAATCTCAGCTACTCAGGAGGTTGAGGCAGAAGAATCGCTTGAACCCGGGCGGCGGAGGTTGCAGTGAGCTGAAATAATGCCACTGCACTCCAGCCTGGGCGACAGAGCAAGACTGTCTCAAAAAAAAAAAAAAAAAAAAAAAAAAAAAAGCCAGGCGTGGTGTTAGGCGTCTGTGATCCCAGCCACTAAGGAGGCTGAGGCAGGAGAATCGCTTAAACCAGGGAGGTGGAGGTGCAATGAGCAGAGATCGCACCACTGCACTTCCAGCCTGGGCAAGAGAGCGGAACTCTGTCAAAAAAAAAAAAGCGACTTTGGAAAATAATAGTCATTTTGAGGTTGGGCAGTGCTCAATGCTATTATCGATTTCGTTAACATTGGGGTATTAAAAAATGTCAATCCGCGTATTACTGAAGACGGTGGCAGGGCTCTTACCTGAGGGACGGAAAAATTCTTGCTGCCTAGAATTCATTGACATTCTTTCTTTCCTCTCCAGGTTTCCGGCTCTGTGTGGAATAGGTACTGTCCTCCTTGTAGTTGTTAGGGAATCAGATACCGCATTTTGATCGTGGTAAGTTACTTGCTTTTCTATTTTTTTCCACCTTAAATTTACAGTGGAGAGGTGCAAATTCTGCCCCACCCTGGGGAGGCAGCTCCGGCTTCTAGGCAGCTTTGCCGCAGGTTCGGTATCCGCGACTTTAAAATGGACTCGGGAGTCTTTCAGGAAGCACGTCGCAGGAGACAAGGGCGTGAAGACAAGGACTTGCAGGCAGGCTCCCGCCCTTCGAGGCGGCGCGTGCGCTCCAGAGGCCGTCCGTTAATCCCTCCGTCGGTCCAGCAATGGATGGGCATAGGTCCTGGCTGGGCCAATCAGGCTCTGTTCTCTAGGGCTTTGGCGCGAAAAGACGCCAGGTCCAAAAAGAAAAAGAGGGAAAAAAAGAAAAAGGAAGAGGGAGTGTGAGATTGGTAGATTCTAGCAGCCCTCCTGTGAACCTGCCCGTTAATTCCTCTTCTCTAAATGTCTGCCTTTTTTTCTTCGTGTACAATTCCTTTTTGTCATTGCAGCAGGAGTAAATATCGATCTCGATCAACGTTGGTGTAAAAGGACCCTGCCTTTCAGGAGGTCATTTCGCCCCCAACAAAAGACTACACTTCCCAGCGACCCTTGCAGATCGGAAGAGCCGAGTCGCTCTAAGGCGGAGCCGCAGCAACTTCCGGCACCCTGGTAGGCTGGGCTAGTCGCGTTTTGCCACGGCGGCTGCTCTACGTGAAGTGTTGTGGACCTCAGCCTCCTTCAAGTCCACGTTTAATGAAATACTGATAAAGAGGATAGCTTGCAGAAAGAGGATACCTTGCAGAAAGAGGATACCTTGCAGAAAGAGGATGTAGGATGGGAAATATCACTGTGGCAGTTTTGGAAAACGCCATTTGCCACAAAGACCTGTGAGAGCCTAAATACTGAAGAGATTACACTCCTCCCACCACCCAAATGTATTCAAATGCAAACAGCTTTAGACTGTAAAATAGGGGCAACGCAGCCCAGTAAGTATGAACTTCCCCATAACTCCTTCCATGCTTTTTTTTTTTTTCTGGAATTGGTGGGGAGGGGATGTCAACCATCAAATACCGTAGAGATACATTCTTTTTCCTCACTCCCTTTTTTTCTTAGGGGGTTGCCTCTGCTTTGCTGGTGCCCTGAGTGTGTGCTCAAACTATATGGTGGATGCTCCAGCCTGGGGGAACGGTGTTTTGGGCAGAGGGAGCAGCACATGAAAATAAGTTAAACAGCGTGGTTAGGTACACGTGGATGGGTAGTAACCAGAGTGAGAATGGTGATTCATGATGCTGGAAGGCTGAGAAGAAACAGATCAGAAAGAGCCTTGTGCACCAATCATAATACTGAGCATCGATGACAACAGCCTTCTTTTGTTCTTAATACTCTAAGCACTTTTCATAAGCACTCATTTAACCACTCAACAACCCTGAGAGGTAGGTAATACGATTTTTTTTTTTTTTTTGCTCTGTCACCCAGACTGGAGTGCAGTGGCCCGATCTCAGCTCACTGCAACCTCCCCTGGGTTCAAGCGATTCTCCTGTCTCAGCCTCCTGAGTAACTGGGATTACAGGCACGCGCCACCAAGCCCGGCTAAGTTTTCTATTTTTTTTTTTTTTTTTTTTTTAGTAGAGACGGGGTTTTGCCATGTTGGCCAGGCTGGGATTATTTCATTTTACCGATGAGGAAAACTGGTTAAATACTTCCTTCAGGTTCGCACTGCTAGCAAGAGACAGAAATGTGATTTGTGCCCGGGAAGTCTTGCCCCAGATCTGCTCCCTTAACTTCATATTACTAATCAAAGGAGTTTGCACTTCAGCCTGAAGGTGAAAGTGAGTGCTTTCCTAGAATATGAAATTTGATAAAAACAAAAGTAGAGAATTTCACTAAAACCTTCTGGCCTGATTTTTGATACTTTGGGAAATATAGACTCAAGAATGTTACATCCTTTTTTTTTTTTTTTTTTTTTTTTTTAGGTATACTATACATATGATTGTAATATGCAGAAGATCAAGTGCACTGGCCCAGCGTGGTGGCTCACGCCTGTAATCTTAACACTTTGGGAGGCTGAGGCAGGAGGATGGATCACTTGAGGCCAGGAATTTGAGAACAGCCTGGCCAACATGGTGAAAGTCTGTCTTTACTAAAAAAAATGCCAAACTAAGCCAGCTGTAGTCCCAGTTACTCATGAGGCTGAGGCAGGAGAATCGCTTGAACCCGGGAGGCAGAGGAGCAGTGAGCCGAGATGGTGTCACTACACTCCAGCCTGGGCGATGAAGCGAGACTCCATCTCAAATAAAAAAAGTATCAATCTTAGAGTACAAACTTACGAGTTTTACACATGTGCACATCCGTATAATCACTCCTAGGCTGGTTTCCATTTCCACACACCAAGTCTCTCTCATACCCTTCTCCCTGTCACTATGTATGCCTAACCCCAGGAAACCATTCTTCTGACATCTAGCACCTCCATCGCCTGTTCCCGGACTTCATGAAGAGGTACGCTTTGTATCTGGCTTCTTTCACGCAACATTGTGTCTGTGATATTCATCCATGCCATTCCATGTAGCTGTAATTATCTTTTTCATTGCCTTATTAACAAGCCATTATATTATTATACTACAATCTATCAAACTGATAAACGATTTGGGTCATTTCCGTGTTTTGACTATTGCAAATAGCACCTCCTGGCACATTCCGTCTGCACCCAGGAGGGGAATTGCTAGATCACAGCTGCTGCGCTACACCTTCATTTAACGACTAACCAGTTTTGCTGCTGGTTCTGCAACCAAGCCCTGGCCAAACACCCCTAGATCGCGGGTAACTTTCTAGATCGTGGTCAACTTAGCAAGCTGCCGTTGACAGTCCTGGGTAGAACGTCTCTGCTTCAATCTGTAAGAGTTATGACTGGTGAAAGTGAGGCCATGTCACTTCCAAGTCCAGGTGAGATAGCTTCTTCCTTGTTCCCGGGAAGTCTAACCCCAGACTTGCTCTTGGAACCCAGCTGCTGTACTATCAGGAAGTCCAGGTTACATGAAGAAGTAACATGGAGTGTTCCGGTTAACAGCCCCAGCTGAGGTTCCAGCCGACTAGTGTCAACTGGTAGACATTTCAGCAAAGCCTTTAAAATGAATCAAGTACCAGCCACTATCTCCCTGCAAGTGTATGAGAGACCCTGGGAGAACCATACCAACCAACTTCCAAAACCATGAAAAAGTAAAATAAAATGTCACTGTGCTAAGGCACTAAGTTTTAAAGTGATTAACAGTTATTATGGGGCCCTCTCCTTCCCCATCCAGATCATCCTACTTTCTTTTCTTTTTTTTTTTTTTTTTTTTTTTTGTGACAGGCTTGCTCTGTTGCCCAGGCTGGAGTACAGTGGTGCAGTCATGGTTCACTGCAACCCCTGCCTCCTGGGTTCAAGCAATTCTCATGCCTCAGCCTCCCAAGTAGCTGAGACTACAAGCATGTGCCACCACACCTGGCTAATTTTTGTATTTTTAGTAGAGACAGGATTTCACCATGTTGACCAGGTTGGTCTTGAACTCCTGGCCTCAAGTGATCCTCCCATTTCAGCCTCACAACGTGCTACTGAGATTGCAGGCATGAGCCACCGCACCCGTCTTTTTGTTGTTTGTTTATTTGTAGACAGCCAGTTGCCCAGGCTAGAGTACAGTGGCACAATCATGGTTCATTGCAACCACTGCTTCCTTGGCTCAAGTCATCCTCTCCCTTTGGCTTCCCAAGTAGCTGGGACCATGGGCATATGCCACCATGCCTGGCTAATTTTTAATTTTTGTATTTTAAATTTTATTTTGTAGAGATGGGTTTTCGCCGTGTTGCCCAGGCTGGTCTTGAACTCCTGAGCTGAAGTGATCTGACTGCCTCAGCCTTCTAAAGAGCTGGGATTACAGACATCAATCACTGCACCCAGCCCCCCTACTTGATTTTCTTTCTTTTTTTTTTTTTTTTTTTTTTTTTGGGGGGGGAGGAAGGCAGGAAGGAAGGGAAGAAGGACGGTAGGGAGGAAGGAAGGGATGAAGGAAGGAAGGAAGGGAGGAAGCGGGGAGGGAGGGAGTGAGGGAGGGAAGGGAAGAAAGGAAATCAAGCAATGAAAGAGACATTGCCGACCTGGATCTAGAGGTTTACAAGTTGATTTCTTTTTTTTTGAGAGAAGGAAAGAAAAAAAAATAATAAGTAAAGGAGAGGAAGAAAGAGGAAGAGAAAGAGGGAGAGTAAATGGAAATATTGCTTTATTTTGAAAAAAATTGGGTATTAATAATGGCCAATCAATGTTTCATTTAAACTAATGGGTAGGTGTGATGTGGTATTGACAAGAATGTATATTTTGTGTATTTGAAGTGGAGAGCTCTATAAATATTTATTAAGTTTACTTGTTCTGGATCTGAGTTCGAGTCCTTGATATCCTTATTAATTTTCTGTCTCATTGAATCTAAGTCTCCTATCTGGGTGTTAGGATCGTTAGCTCTTGTTGTTGCATTGATCCTTTTACCACTATATCTTTGTTGCTTTAAAATCTATTTTATCCGATACAAGAATTGCAACTCCTGCTTTTTATTTATTTATTATTTATTTTTGCTCTCCATTTGGTTGGTAAATCTTTCTCCATCCCTTTGTTTTGAGTCTTTGTGTATCGTTGCATGTGAAACAGGTCTGGATGTAACATGCCGTTGGGTTTTGGCTGTGTCTTTTGATTGGGAATTCAGTCAATTTAAATTTAGGGTTACTGCCATTTGATGTTGACTGGCTGTTTTATCCATTTGTTGGTGTAAATTCTTCTTTATGTTGGTGCTCTTTACTTTTTGGTGTATTTTTAGAAAGGCTAATACTGGTTGTTTCTTTCTGTGTGTAATGCTTCTTTCAGAAGCTCTTGTAAAGCAGGCCTGGTGGTAATAAAATCTCCGAGTTCTTGCTTGTTCATAAAAGATTTTATTTTTCCTTCAGTTGTGAAGCTTAGTTTGGCTGGATATGAAATTCTGGGCTGAAGGTTCTGTTCTTTGAGGATGTTGAATATCGGCCCCCACTCTCTTCTGGCCTGTAGAGTTTCTGCCGAGAGATCTGCTGTAAGTCTGATAGGCTTGCCTTTGTGGGTTATCCGACCTTTCTCTCTGGCTGCCCTTAGTATTTTCTCCTTCGTTTCAACCCTGGTGAATCTAACGATTATGTGCCTTGGGGTTGCTCTTCTTGAGGAATATCTTTGTGGTGTTCTCTGTATTACCTGGGGTTGAATGTTGACCTGCTTTGCTAGTTTAGGAAAATTTTCCTGAATAATATCCTGAAGGGTATTTTCCAGCTTGGATTCATTCTCTCCGTCGCATTCAGGTACACCTATCAAACGTAAATTTGGTCTTTTCACATAGTCCCACATTTCTTGGAGACTTTGCTCATTCCTTTTTATCCTTTTTTCTCTAATCTTTTCTTCACGTTTTATTTCATTAAGTTGGACTTTGACCTCTGATATCCCTTCTTCTGCTTGAACAATTCGAGTGTTTAAACCTGTGCATACTTCTCGGAGTTCCTGTATTGTATTCTTCAGTTCCATTAATTCACTCATACTCCTCTCTAAGTTGTCTATTCTCAATAGGATTTCATCAAACCTTTTGTCAAAGTTCCTAGTTTCTTTACGTTGGGCTACAACATGTTCTTTTAACTCACCGAAGTTTGTTATTATCCATTCCTTGAAGAGTGATTCTGTCATCAGGAGGCGCTCGTTCTCCATCAAGCCTTGTTCCATTGTTGATGTGGAACTGTGATCATCTTTAGAGGGAGAGGCGTTCTGACTTTGAGTATTCTCAGCTTTTTTACGCTGGTTTCTTCCCGTCATTGTAAATTTATCCTCCTCTCGTCTTTGAAATTACCAACTTTCAGATTAGGTCTCTTGAGTGGACGTCCAGGTTGTTAGTTCCCAGGGCCAGAGCAGCGGCGTTAAAACTGATGGTGCTTTTCTGCCCAGGATTCTCCTGTCGGGCTTCCTTCTTGTGTCCGTAGTAGGCGACTCTGCCTTCCCGGGGCTCCAAACCTCGGTCAGAAGGGGAACCGGTCCCGTTTACTCTGCTCCGAGAGCTGCCGCGCCGAGGTGCCGGCGGAACCGCTGCGCCGACCATGAGAGTCGCGCTGGCGACCCGTGTGTTTCCACCACTGGGGGATCTTCTGCTCCGTGAGCGACCAGACTTTGTCTGAAAGTGTGGCGTCCTCTAGTTCTCCGCGCCTTCCCTGAGAGCTGCAATCCCGGGATGTTAGCGATCGGCCATCTTGGATTGTTCTCCCGCATGTCGATTTTCTTTCTTTTTGAGACAGAATCTCTCTCTGTCATCCATGCTGTCCCACTTGATGTTCGGGACTGCTCCAGTGTCCCGCCTTTAGACGGCCTTCCCTGACTTTTAGTGCTGAGAGAGGGCTTTCTCCAGGCTCCCAGTCCTCTGCATCCCTCTATCATGTCTCCTCCATGCCCTATTATCACTGCTCGTTTGCTTGTCTGACGCCCTCATTTAAAAGTTTAAACTCCCGTGGGCAGTGACTATATTTTAAAAATAAACCTTCTGGGCCGGGCGCAGTGGCCCAAGCCTGTAATCCCAGCACTTTGGGAGGCCGAGGTGGGTGGATCACGAGGTCAAGAGATCAAGACCATCGTGGTCAACATGGTGAAACCTCGTCTCTACTAAAAATACAAAAAAATTAGCTGGACATGGTGGCATGTGCCTGTAATCCCAGCTACTCAGGAGGCTGAGGCAGAATTGCCTGAACCCAGGAGGCGGAGGTTGCGGTGAGCCAAGATCGCGCCGTTGCACTCCAGCCTGGGTAACAAGAGCGAAACTCTGTCTCAATCAATCAATCAATCAGTAAACCTTCTGTATTCTCAATAGCTAGGACAGAGCTAGAAAAAAAAAAGTAAGGGCTAGTAAACGATATGGAGGGAATAACTTAAGCAAAGCGGGTACTTACGAGTCAAGTACTGGCTGGGCAAGTTAGGGCAGGGCTTAGGGGGACAAGCTGCCTGGTTCCCTATCCCAGCTGCCCTCCAGCCTGGGCAACACAGTGAGGCTCGAAGATTCTTTCTGACCTCTCCTATCCCAGCCTTAGGCAGTTACTGTACTTCTCTGGGTCCCAATTTCTGAAATGTGGAAATGGAAATGGTAGTACCAAAGAAAAAAGTCTAATGTACAAGTTTAATAACAAGGAGTCTAGCTCTCAGAACAACCAACTAACAACTGACAGATAAAAAGAGAAGATGGTGCTTATTGTTCAAATTATTACATAGCTGTCATCAATTCTCATTGGAAGATGCTTGTCTTTTGATAAAAACCAGAAATTTCTGTCTTTTATTAATTAAAAACAAGATATGGTTTTTTTTTTATTTTTTATTTTTTTTAAAGAGAAAAAGAAGGGGAAAAAAAGAAAAAGAGGGAAAAAGGAATATTACTTCATTCCTAAAATGGGTTTCAATAATGGCCGATCAATATTTTGAGTGTTTAAAGTGGTTAATGCATATTTTATGTGTTTAAAATGGAGACCTCTATTGTGTTTATTTGTTCTGGCTCTGAGTTCAAGTCCTGGATATCATTATCAATTTGTTGTCTCGTTGAATCTAAATCTCATTATGGGTCTTATGTATCTGGGTGTTAAGATCTCTTATTGTTACATTAATCCTTTTACCCTTGCATACTTGTAGCTTTGAAATCTATTTTATTAAGTGTGAGAATTGCAACTCCTGCTTTTTATTTATTTATTTTTGCTCTCCATTTGGTTGGTGAGTTTTTTTCCATCCCCTTGTTTTGAGTCTTTGTATATCTTTAGATATATCGTTAGATTTTGTGGATAATGTATATTTTGTGTGTTTAAAATGGAGAGCTCTATTGAATTTATTTGTTCTGGATCTTAGTTCCAGTCCCAGATATCATTATCAATTTTCTGTCTCATTGAATCTAAATCTCATTGTGGGTCTTATGTATCTGGGTGTTAAGATCTCTTATTATTACATTAATCCTTTTACCCTTGTATCCTTGTAGCTTTGAAATCTATTTTGTCAAATGTGAAAATTGCAACTCCTGCTTTTTATTTATTTATTTTTGCTCTCCATTTGGTTGGTACGTTTTTTTTTTTTCCAACCCTTTATTTTGAGTCTATGTATATCTTTGGATATACCGTTAGATTTTGTCTGTATCTTTTGATTGGGAGATTTGGTCGATTTAAATTTAGGGTTGCTGCCATTTGATATTAACTGGCTATTTTGTCCTTTCGTTGATAAAAATTGCTCTTTACTTTTTGGTGTATTTTTAGAAAGGGTCATACTGGTTGTTCCTTTCTGTGTATAATGCTTCTTTTAGAAGTAAAGCAGGCCTGGTGGTAATAAAATCTCTGAGTACTTGCTTGTTCCTAAAAGATTTTATTTTTCCTTCAAATGTAAAGCTTAAATTGGCAGGATATGAAATTCTGGGCTGAAAGTTCTGTTGATTAAGTATATTGAATATTGGCCCCCACTCTCTTCTAGCTTATAGGGTTTCCATTGAGAGATCTGCTGTAAGCCTAATAGGCTTACCTTTATGGGTAACTTGATCTTTCTCTCTGGCTGCCCTTAATATTTTCTCCTTCGTTTCAGTCTTGGTGAATCTAACAATTATGTGCCTTGAGGTTGGTCTTCTTGAGGAATATCTTTGTGGTGTTCTCTGTATTGCCTGGGGTTGAATAGTGTCCTGCTTTGCTAAATTAGGAAAATTTTCCTGGATAATGTCCTGGAGAGTATTTTCCAGATTGAATTCATTCTCTCTGTCACATTCAGGTACACCAATCAAGAGTATATTAGGTCTTTTCACATAGTCCCATATTGCTTGGAGACTTTGCTCATTCTTTTTTATCCTTTTTTCTCTATTCTTGTCTTGTCGTTTTGTTTCATTAAGTTGGTCTTCGACCTCTGATACCCTTTCTTCTGCTTGATCCATTCGGCTGCTTAAGCTTGTACATATTTCACTAAGTTCTCGTGTTGTATTTTTCAAC